ATTATTGACAGATTCAGATCATCCTGTCACTGACGAAAGTGCCATATTGGTTGGAGAGTTCAACCTCCACCATCCGGGATGGGGTGGAGATGGGGTTGCGCAAGTTGAGAAAGACGCCGAGATTCTTCACCAGGCAACAAGCATGGCAGGCATGCGATGCTTGTTACCACCCGGCCTAAGGACTTAATTACGGTCGGCTACCGACTCCGGCGATTTCTCAACCACGATTGACTTGGCCTTTGCCGGTCAGAGGCTTGAGTCTCGGGCTCATCCCACTCGAGCGCTGTCAGTACCTGGATTCGATTCAGACCACCGGCCGCTCCACACCAGGATCTCCTTTGCGCCCAATCGAGACAAGGAGCCACGCTTCAACTGGGACAAAGCAAATGAAAAGAAACACTGCATAGAAGCCAAAAAGCAATTGCTCATGATCGGCTGCCCCACTATCCGAACTGCAGCTTAGGTTGACGACCTAAATAACGATTGAGCGCAGTAATAGGATACATTACTACTTACTCAAGCGAGGTCTGCATCTTCCAAGTCAGTGACATCCTCCCAGTGGTTTTTTTACTTGTTTGTGTACTCATTCTTCAGGTACAGTAGACTAGCTGATCCCCGTCTTTCAACCCTTCCAAAGCCACAGCCAATGAATCGAGTTCATCACATTTTGTTGCCACATCAGCATTGCTGGGTAGGTCTTATCTTCTGAACGCATCACCAGCATCTAATCGTTTAGCAGTGTGTCGAAGAGCTCCAGGTAGTCGTTTGTGTTTGGTTGCCCTGTATTGAGTTGGACCAGGATACCTTTGAGGTGATCCTGTATGTCGACGATCGATCTACGGCCCGGTGTATCTTCCCCACACCGGCTCATCTCAGTGTCAAGCCATTCGACGCTGCTGCTCTCACCAATCCAATAATTCTGCCAGTGGGACTCTGAATAAAGCTCGAGGAAACTGCTGATCAGAGAAGATCCAAAGAAGCATTCACTGTCGCAACCTCTTCTGACTCAACGCCATTGGCAGCAGTGGGTGTCTCCTTTAACTTTCTCGGCCTCCCACGGGAGCTACGAGATATGGTCTATGAGCATTATTTGGAAGTCGAGGGAGGATACGTGTGTGACTCGCAGGCCTTCATCGATGGAAAATTAAGGGTAGGAAACCACGGCAGCCCCATTGAGCTGAACCTCATTTACGCTTGCCGCCGAGGGTTGCGACGGCTACTTTTGTGAAGACTTTCCCCGGGCCATGGCAGATATTGCTGACGGGGATGCAGGCTCCTCCGTTGTGCAGTGCAACTTTGACGTCGGCCAAGTATGGGTTGTAAAAAAGATGATCCACGACCACCGATCGTGGCCGCTCGAGAAGTGAAAGGCAGAGTGGCCCACACACGAACCAGCTCTGTGGGAGACTGTGCCCCCTTTGCCAGAGTGGATGGCTCTGTTGGAGAAGAACATATTAGAATACGATGAAAAGGCCAAAAACAGTGGTCGAGGAGCAGCGGTACGTACACGGCGATGAAATCATAACGACCGGCACACTTGGTACCGTCTCAATGACGACGGCTGAAAGGGTAAGGGGACACCATCCTTTTTGCGTAATGTAGGTCAGGAGCACCGTGGACTTTGATCCTTGAAGTGAAGGGGCTAAGTTGTCTGAAAGATGGATGATGTATAGAGCCCAAGGGAGACTTCCTCGTGTCTTAAAGCTCAATTTCAAGCATCTTACATGCCGTTGGCCCAGTCTCGTCAATGGCCCTACTGATTCTACGAATCCTCGCGTAATTTATTCACATCTTGTCAGAGCCAGATAAAAGATTAGGAGATGACAGATTCCTTCCACCCATGACGCCCGGGGTGGTCTTGACGTGGATCATTCTCAATCGCCTCACTCTCGCGAGAGACACTCACAAGCATGGAAACCGAGTCACATCTAGATTCAATACGTCAACCCTCTCACCAAATATGTTTCAGAACTCTCCTCTCCTCTTTACGCACATGCTTGAATCGATCGTCTTCCTCCTCGGTTCTCATATGCTACTGTACGCTCTGGGTCCGGCCAGCCTGCGAGACACCTCCCAGAGCACAGAACTCTTCAGACTATACGAAGTTCGACGTGGGTACTGACGGTCGACAAGCAAGTGCTTAGTTATGCAAGTGTGATCATCTGCATACTGGAGTTCGCCTTGCAGGCCTCCCTTGCTCAGCTAGATAATGACTATCTTCATCTCACCACCCACTCTCAAGACATCGCACACCTAAAGAGCAACAACCAAGAAAACTCACACGCGGATACTATGGAACATCTCCCTTTCTCCTTGCCAACACATGATCATTACAGCCCCTCTATCTTCTTCCCCTGGGCCCCCTTCTCGGCTTCCTCCTCATCAACCCCTCCTACGCCAGACTCCTCCAGAGCACCAGTGCTCTTCGTCACCGCCAACACAGTAGGCAAGGCAAACACCAGAGCTCCCATGCTCAACCCCCAATTCATCGCAAGCTGTGCCATGGCGCTCGCCCGCTGGGCGTTGATCCGCCACGCCATGGCCCCGCCTGCCGCCTGGAACGCCTTGTACGCGCCGACCAGCACCGCCGCCCGCCCCGTCGAGTTGGACTGCGCGCCCACGAGCCAGTAGCAATACGATTGCCACAGCGAATCGTAGGCCCCGTATAGCACATACAGCACCATGGGTCCGGCGGCTGACGTCCTCGCGCCGCTGCCCGGCGCGCCCTGCGCGTAGTCGACGTCCTGCACGTGGCCCCGGGCCCGCCGCGCGTCCTGCCACCGCTGGAACCGGTACCCGCCGCCCCAGATGGCCATGCCCGTGACGAAGAGGACGGCCCAGCCGAGGCGGGCACGCCCGGGGCGATCGAGCGCGGGCAGGTCGAGGAGGAGGCCGATGAGGAGGTCGCCGACCATTTGGGCGAGCCAGTAGAGGGCGCCGTTGAGGGAGCGGGTGCGGAGGGTGAAGGTCATGCCGTTGACTTCGTTCTGCTGGTACGAGTAGAAGACGTTGGCGCAGAAGAAGAGGGGCAGCATGCAGGCGACGCGCCAGGTGCATAGCGTCGTGGTCGTCATGGTCACGAGGCCCTTGGCCCTGGCGGCGAAGCCGGAGGCGGAGCCGTGTGAGCGATTGCGAGTCTCCTCCGCCTCGGTCACGGCGCTGAGCTGCGCGAGACGGATGCGTTTCGGGGAGCAAATGAAGAGGCCCAGGGCCCAGCCGAAGAGCATGACGGCCATGAGGGCGATGTACGTCGCGTCGTTGACGGTGCCAGTGGTGGAGGAGAAGTTTAGGCCAAAGGCGGCGAGGCTGCCGACGCCGCCGCCGAGGTTGAAGATGATCCAGAAGACGGCGATGGCGCGGCCCTTTTGCGACTCGTGGACGTAGGTTGTCATTATGGCGCCCTGGACGATCCATATGAAGGAGGAGCCGATGCCGAGGATGGCTCCAGAGGCGATAACGAAGGTTCCGTTTGCGGTGTCTTTGGGGCGGTTACATTTTGTAAGTATTGTCAAGGGGGAAAGACGGGAGAAGGGGGGGAGAACATACGGTTGAAGTTCAAGAGGCTTCCACTATAGAGGGCGTAGGTCCAGCCTCCGATGAGGAAAGCGATCTTCGGGCCTACGAGGGACAGGATTGGGCCCACAAAGAAGAGGGACGCCACGGCCGTCGTCGAGAGGAGGGCGACGGTTGCGTTGGCCGCTACTGTTGAGTCGACTTGACCGGAACCTCCTAGGCCGGTGAGGGCGTTATACATCTGGATAAGAGTTTCTGCGTCAGGATTTTGTGATCTCTCAGTCACACGAAGGAAGGGTTACTAACTCCAGGTAGACAGAAACAGATGAAGCTAATGAGGATGATTCTGCGGGCACACTTTAGCTGTTGCGACGAGGGTAGTCGGACTCTAGACGGATCCTACTGTGTCCACGGATTCGAGTACAGACTCATGAGCTTGGAGTTCTTCCCACCCTCGAGATCATGCTGGACGCCGGTTCCGGTGTGTGACGCATCGTCAGGCAGCTCTCGAGGTTCATCGGCAGTCATTGTCGATATCCTGGCTCGTTGATCGATAGGGTGATTGTCTTTCTCCTCGTATGCTGTGAACCCGAGCTAATCATGTCTCTTTTATTGCAAGATGATTTGACCAATACCCTCTATGGCTTATAACTACTGTAACATGTCCTCGACACCTGGTACTTCCAGAGGCAGCATCGAGATAGGGAGACAGGCACGAAAACATGGCAACGTTGAAGTTGAATATCTTGAGAAAGCTTGGCTTGCCCCGCCCTTCCTATCTTCGAAAGTTTTCCACTAGAGTACCATATTACTAACAAGCTTCCCTCGTCTTCTTGTTACCAAATAGGACATAGTAACAGCATGTTCTGACAGAGCGGGGAAATCGCACATGAGAAGATAAGCTGAGGATCCTCAATATTCTTCTCCACATTATCCAGTTTTTCTCCCTCGCTGGAACAGGAGGAATTCAAGTGTATCCCACAGTCATGCTGAGAGGAGGGGAAGGAATCTAGCAATAGTGTGAGTGAGTGCCTGGTCTAAGGACCTGAGGTCAGATTCGTGAAATGTGATTCGTTCATCCGCCCCAAAGAGGAGACAAAAGGAACCTGGGTCTGCCCCAGCTTTCTTTATCCGGCGCCACCCGCCGGCACGGTCCTCAATGACAAGGATCTTCCCTGAGGCTCCGCTCCGGCCCTCTTTCTTCTGACGTTGTTGTATCCGTGCACCCGTGGGATGCCCTGTTGCCGCACCGATGTCTCCGATGGAACGTGACATTGGGTCTCGGAGGTACGGACAGCACACGGCTCCGATCCAAGGCGGGATATTGCGGTAGTCGGATCTGGCGTTGCATCGAGATCTTTCATGGCCGGTGAGATGGCTCAGAAACTGAGATGACATCTGGTAAAAGTCCTATAACTACCTAATAATGGATAAAAAGTATGCCTTTCGATACCTCCTTCCGTCGCAAATTACAACATTCAACTTTATCAAAAGCTCGCACAAAATTCGAACGCTACTTGAACTATTGACGATGCACCCCGTAAAAACTCCACAGGGGAGGTTTCCTTTGATGTGCGACCACATTTGACGCGACCAGGAAAGGGTAGTCCACGTTCCATGCGGTCTGGCGTGGCAGCGTGAAACAACATACAACATGAGAGGGGGAGCGATATGGACCTTATTAAATCACCAAAGGCAACCATGCGTCATCTCAAGGCCCTGAGTGGGCTTCTTAGACCGGACGGGGTTTACTGGAACGTTACCTAAAGAAAGATTGATTGGAGATCTCATACAGGCACGGACACGATCTCCCCTCAAGAAGCAGAAAATTCAGAGAAAGAGGCATCACTCTGATGATGTAGTAAACCAGGTTCATGACTCTTGCTTTCCCCATGGGGAACATCAACGTTAACTCCAACGTCACATTTGGAAACACCCACCCCACATTCTGTACATTGTCATTCAGAGCCGAGCTGCAAGTCAATGACACTGAGCTAGTTGTACCCGAACGTTCGTTGAGACCACCCGCCCGTGTTCCCGTCTCACACCGGAGTCCGGAATCCTCGGGTCCGAGCACCCCCACCAAAGATCAGAGCGCCGCTCCGTGGGGTAAATCTTCACTTGACGTCAAGTCACGGTGCTCCGAAATAAGCGGCCGGGTGAGACTCTAGCCGAAAAACGGCGAGGAAGCCGGAGCCGTCTAGGTCGGCAGCCTGGGTGTAGGCTAGACCGGGGTCGCGCTTGTAGCATCTTGTAAGTTCGATGAACTCGACATCCTTTTGATTTCGGATCCCTCTCACTGAGTAGACTTCAGTCCGCGGTAGAACACACCAACGCCTGCATAGTGTGCTGCAACCTCACCAGGCCCCGTATGCGAACTTCTAAGCATGCGAATCATCAGGTCAGTAACAAATTCATATCTTCTTTCCCACACACCTTCCACCGTCAAAGCAAGAAATGGAAGGCTCCCTAAGACAGCGGGGGATTTGCATCGCGTCATGGGGTATATCCTCAACGCATAGCTCCCCCAAGGACGAGTTCGCTAGACGTTGTGAGCATCATTCCATGTACATGCATACAAACGGCGGATATACGCTTCGCAAACATCCCTCACCCAAAAACACGCAAAACCACAGGCGCCGGGCCGACGGCAATCTCCAGCCGGTATGGAGTACTCCTTACTGTGTTGCTTCTACCTCGTCACCGCTCATTGGTGGGCAAATATTGACTCTCATGGGGCTGTTTCGGCAAGCGATCCTATTCGCTGATAGACACAAACAACCTTGATCAATCTTGCCACCGTTTGAGATATCTGGGAGCGGGAAAATAAGTTGCGCTCTTTGCGGAAGCGAGATGTGTGCCGGGTTATCAAGGGACGATATCTGTCGTACCCATGAACAAGATTGAGTTTGTAGTTTTGGCCGGCTAGAAATGCCGATGTGTTAATTACCACGTAACCGTTTTAGGCCTTGGGATGTTGGATCCCGTGGTTCGAAATGGGGGTTTGCCGCGCAGGGGGGAAGACTTCATCCCTGCGTCCCTACTACACATGGGGAGGTCGCCACGAGGTCCCCTGCCAGTTGCGAGCTTCAGGCTCCTGCCACTGCTCAGACAAAGAGGAAAAGCTTTCGCACAATGGATTCTGTTCAACATCCAAGTTCGTGAGCTGGAACAAAGAACGCGCACTGAGAATAGCTTCCAGATACCGACTGAACAAGAACAATGAAGAACCATAACAGTGATACAAATAGCCCATGTCCTCCAGCTGAGAACCAGTAGCTTCAAATTCCAATCGATCAAGAATTCCTAAACGTAAAGAAGCGCGCCTCCAAAAGAAAGACCAAAATGTGTCAAGGTATCCAAACTACAATGTCCTGCGGCCACACAATTTTCACTCACTCAATCAACTGCGACAGCGTACACTGCCAGCAGCAGCAGCAACCCCAGCTTCAGCCCGTCTTCCTCAACGACAGCTGCTCCGCTTGCCACCGCCCCGCAAGCTACGCTCAGAACCGCGCGCGGCACGAGGCTGAGCACGCCGTGCTGATGGGTGAGTACATGCGGGCCGATGCTGCCGGTGACGAGGACGGCATGCGGCGGGCTCGGCGCGCCATGCTCGAGCACACGCTGCTGCTACGCCAGCGGAACTTTGTGGTGAGTTTGGTGAGAGAGAAGGCGGGTGGGGATGTCGAGTGGCCTGGTCTGCCTTCCCGTGAATGAAATGGTGAGGTTATTTGTGATGGTATGCATGGAATGATCTTGGAAGTGAGACAAGGTCAGGAATTTGAAAATAAAATTGAACTGAAATTGCAAATGGGGGTATAGATACAAAAATCTCAAGATGCCTCCTACACTAAATCCCCTCTTAAGCCTCGGTATGAGCTACAAGAATCAAAGACTGCCCTTCCCATAAACCAGGCGGCCTCTTGGTGAACATCCATCTCTTTCATCACCAAGGCGGGGAATACTTTGGCAACGCCCCAAGACGCACATCGCTCGGCCCCATGAACTGAGCAACATCCCATGCCGAAGGCATATACGGCATGTGACTCAGGTTCTGGTTTGGTGAATCCTGCCTCATCTGCTGCTGGCCAGCGTTCCCCTTCTGCGCCTGCACTTCCTTCTTCGCCTGCGTAAACTCCTTGACCCTAGCCGTGCCCAGCTTGCCTGCCCTTCTCTTGTCTGTGGGACAACGGAGCAGCGGGACCTGGATGACGGCGGAGAATATGTCCCGTATCTTCTGTTCCGGTTGGTTATGTCGCTTCGCCACCTCTTGGAATGGAAACATGTTGAGGCATGTGTCTGCGATGTCGACAATGATGTGTTTGGTCGTCGGTTGCATGTCGGGGACTCTGGTTGACTGAGGTTTCGAGAGGGTTGCTGCTTCTGGTTTGGCTGCTTGGGTAGGCGGCTGTTGCGTGACGTACGCCGGTGTTTGCGGGGCTGGGGAAGTAGGTCCGAGATGGAACATGTGTCCCGCCGGCTGTTGGGGAGGAATCCCGGCACCGAGATGCGGCTGTTGCGGATGGACTGCAAAGTGGCCAGCTGGTCCAGCCATCAAGGATTGTTGCAAGAGCGGGTTGTACATGGCCCCAGCCATCGCGTTATGGTACGGATTGAGTCCCAAGAGGTTTGTCCAAGGTTGCTGCAGAGACGACGGCGGAAGGGGAGCCTGACTGGGGGCAGATGCATTTGTGCCGTTTGGCAAGCCTGAGTTGACTGTCATGTTGGCAGCCTGCTGCCTCAACCTCGCCTCCACACATTGACGGCATGGTGCCTTTGCTCCCGACGCAGGGCGATCAGCGCAAGCCCCGGTCTGGATATCCGACGCGCCATGAGCGGTGTTGTGAACATCGGCATTCAGCGGTTTTGACGTATGTGTGTTTTGATGAGTATGGGTATGGAAGGGGAAAGGGGGGTCGTTGATCTTGGAACTGTGAAGGGATACCTGCTGATCCAAGAGAGTGCGAAGGTCATTCTTCGACTCCGTCTCGGCATTAGAGTGGTTCAGCGTTGACACAGACTCAGCTGTCTGTTGTAAGATAATTATGCCGTCTGCTTCTGATGCGGGCATAGAGTTAATCTTGCCCAGGTCAGTGATACCAGCTAGCATGGGAGCTGTGGGAATTGAGGGAGCCGTGGGTGTCTCCTTTGCAGTCTCAGCGTGGTTCTCGGTCTCTGCTTGCATCTGACTCGGCGTACCTTGTTCTCCTGATAGTTGCGCTTGATACACATGAGGTGAAGTCATGGTCGACAGCATAGCTGGCGGGATCGGCGCGGGAACATCAACCACCGAATCGTTGGTTCCGCTCGTGCAAACAGGTGCAGATCCATCATTCTTGTCAATTCCGAGCATGGAAGGCGAAATATGTTCGGGAAGTGATTTGGGAGACACCGGTGGTGAGCACTGTGGTCCAGTAGACGGTGCAGTCCAGAATGATTCGGAATGACAGGCCCTCTCTGGAGTCGGCATGGAGCATCCTCTCATCGGGTCAACGTCCGGCAAACGGGCCGTGGTTGAGTGATCGACCATGCCCGTGCTTCCCCGTCGTTCCGGCTGAGAGATTGGCTTGGCGGGCTCGGACGGCTGGTTGTTGATGGGGGCGGGAGTCCCCGCCGCCGGTGAGTCTGTGGTGGAATGTGGCGTGACCAGCTGATAGCCCCCGATCTTCCTCTTCTTGACAGGATTGGAAGATACGAATTGGACGTCGTCATCCTCTCGTTTCGCTGGTATCACAGGTTGTGGGTATGGTGCAAGCCCTGTTGGATAGACTGGGGGAAACATGCCCAGATAGTGGTGGGAGCTTTCCATATCGATGAGAGAGTGACAGTGATGGAGGGGAAAAGAGGGAGAGATGAGTGTGTCTTGCGGATGCGGGAGCGGGAGCGGATGCAACATCGATGAGATGAGGGAACGCCGCTAGCTGATAAGAAAACGGCCGAGCATCCATATTTGAACCCTGTGCCAACCAACAACGGGCTCTGCTGGGTACATGTTGGAGTTGACGGGGGCAGCTGAGCACATCCAGTAACAGCGAGCCATGAACAGCAAAGAAGGAAGCCAAGAGAAGAGTGTTGGCATGCTGCACAGTTTGCCTTTGAGTCGTTCTCTTTGGTACGGTGGGATTCCATCCCAGCCTGGTGTGCCTGGCAGAAAGAAGAGGAAAATCACAATGTTTTGCGTACCGTGACGAGCACCTTGATGCCACTTTTCTCGGGTCCAGGATGCAGATTGCCACTTGGCAGGGAAGGCGGCATGTGGTGCCCAAGTGAGTAAGGTACCATGACTTCAAGGAGGTGTGCAGAGCTGCCAGCGCTCTCATCAATGCTGCTCAAAAGTGAAAGACCTTGAGACTATTGGGTCGGTCTCTTGCTTGTCTATAAAGTTACAAGCTCGGACAATGAAAGCGACCGGGGTCGTTCTCATCTGAGGCACTTGCTCCATTGTCCAGTTATGGACTCATCTAGTGTCTTCGTGACCTTATCAAGGCAGGGGTCAATGACGCTGATTGAAATGGGCAGCACATGACAAGACATCATCAAGCCTGGCCTCCATGATAGTGCAAGTTACTCCAAGCTGGAATGAATTTGAACAGAATACCTCATCGCAATGAATAGTGCTCATTCTGTCTACACCAAGAATGCTGTTGATGAAGAGTGGTACATTGGTACAGAGGTACAGAGCACCTCACCTCAGTTCATG